ACAAAAGCAGTAACAGGCACCACAGTTCCCTCTCCACCGGGAACACGCAGTAACAGAGCTGAAGTGTTTCTGATGACTTGTGAGGAACAGCCAGCAGGCTGTTCAGATACCTGGGATGCATTCTGTTTGTCTTTTTTGTCAGATACTGCCCTTTGGAAGCAGCTCCTTCTCCATGGACTGCACCTGGAACTTCAGACTCCAAAACAGCCTCAAGTTCTCCCAGCAAGAATTTACCGACATAAATTGTAGAAGGAGGGCTCATTTTTCCATCCAAATTTACCTTATGCTAAGACAAGGAACTGCCAAAAAACCCCTCCAGGGGGAAGTAACCTATTTTTACAGTGGTTGGCTGTAGTGCTGAGAGACCTGCAGGGAACGCTGGGTGCATCCCTTACCTGGCACCACCCAAAATAGCGGCCGGTCGTCCTCCGCAGGGCCGTGAGCTGCTGCTGCAGGAGCCCCGGCTGCTCCTCGACGTACCTGGAGCTCAGGGGGGGCGCGCTGTAAATGGGGAGCTGCAAACAAAGCACAGCTGAGCAGCAGGGCCACGGCTCTGCAACCATCAGCCGCTGCTTTTCACGGGGGGTTTCCAGCCTGCAAAGCCTCAGTGCTCCCACTGCAGCACACAAAGCTTCTATGTGGAACTCTGAACTTTTAGAGTTCCACACTGACTCTACCCAAGTGGGACTTCACTCTTGGGAAGTGAAAACTGAAATAATTATATAGGTTCTAAGAAGTAGAATTACTCAGTATGAAGCAAAGGCATGTGCAAGAATAATTAGAAAGTGGATGTGTGTATTACTGGAAATTGCACATTAGAAATGGACTCATCAGTAACTATTCTATTTTCACCTTTTCTGACTGCATTGTTGAAATACTGTAATAATGCAAATGAGATAAAACTTCACTAATTTAGTACCATAACACTTCGTGTGTTATTTGAGCCATAGTGGTCAGTCATTTACTATCACATATTACTTTGCTATGTATTTTAGTTACTGGGTAATGTAACTCAATGGACAGAGCTGCTATACTGCAGGTTTTTCTAGTATTATTTTGAAGACCAAGAAAGAAGATTCATACCTTATCTGGCTTCACCAGCTGACTTTTTGATTCCTTTTCTGTTGCTGCATATACAGTAATACATACAAATGGCAGCCCAGAAGAAACAGCTGCCAGCTTTGCCACCTGGGACAGAGAAATGAAAAAAGGGAGTCCTAATGCTGAAATTAAAATTTCCCTTCAGATTGATCAAATGTGGGATTAAACAAGTCAGTTTTAAAACTTTTTTTAAGCATTACACCTCCTAGATTACACAAAGATTTTCTGAAATTATAATGGTAAAGAAAAGGTTAAAAATCCCTGACAACAATTTTATGCCTAAAATAACAGGAAGAATTTTGTGTTCAAAGCCACGCTGATGCTTCCATCACCTGTTAGGGTAAATTCAGTTGTAATTTACTCAGCATGCAGGAACTGCATTTTTGAAGGATTTTTAAAGAAAAACTATTTTAAACCTATGATAAATCAGACTGCTTATTTCCATACAGCTACCAGAACAAGACACCAATTTTCAATAGACACTAGAAGAAAAACTGAATTTAAAAATGATAGAGCATGAGAAAGTTGTATCGTTCACTTAAAGAAAATATATATTTTAAAGTCACAATGGATTCTGTTCTCAATGTAAAAGAGAAAACTATACAGAGAATGATCAAAGTGGTCCAGCTGCTGACTGACAGTAATTGCTTTACTTCTGGGTGCCTGCAGACAAACATATAAATGTTTAAAGATCCAAGGAAATATCTGTACTGGCTAACATTTACTCTAGCAGTTATCCCAAGAGGGTTTCACTCTTTTCTACTGAAATCACAAAGAACCAGAGCAAAAGAAAAAGCAACATCACCTTGACTGCACTAAAGAGGCTTCACTGCATGGAGCTGTTCCGTATCCAATCACAAGGTGCACTAAAAAGAACTCAATTAGCTAAGCTGTTTCTAGAACTAATTTATTGAAATTATTTGATTAAAAGTTCCTTATCAGGCATTATGTATCAAACAATGAAAATCATATACTGCTTAGCTAAAGAAACCAAAAAGTATTTTGGCTATGAAAACTTCTACAGAAGTTACTGAGAATTAAGAAAAGGATCATATTGTTATATCAAACACTAGGAAAGAAGCACAGAGAAAAACACCTGCAAAAAGCTGGAGCTGTACAACACCCTGGAATTGAATGTTCAGCCAGCAGAATGACTCCAGAACATCAGCTGATAACTGACTTACAAATAAATAAAAATCTTTGATTTGAAGAATCCAGGAAATTGCTGCAGGTACAAAAGCCAGGTGACATTCCTGGAGATGAATTCTGCACAGACACAGAGCTAAACACCACCAGAAGGAAAGGTCAATGGCCAGACTTAAAACATTCCCTGTAACCACTGCCAAGTTCCTGACCTACACTGACAACCTGCAGGTGCTTCCCCAGAAATAAAAAACACACCAAAGACAGACATGGCAATGTTTTTGATGAGCAGCCTGAACAGCAATTATTTGCTGAATAAATGAATTATATGCTTTCTAGCAGAAAACTGTTACAGCTATGCCTCTTAATAGCAGAACTGGAGTAAGACCAATCAAAATATAATAATAAAACTGTCAAATGTACCTGGATAATTTTGGCTTTAAGTATTTGCATTTCAAACAATCTGCTTCAAAGTCTTGGAATCTTATCAACAATCAAAAATACAGAGTCTATTAAAAAAAAAAGTTAAAAAACTACATCGCTACAAAGAATTCACTATCTTCTATTCAAAAGATGCAGAATACAAACTAAACCATAATAAAGGCATATAGTTAATTTATGCTAATCTCCAAGACATTGTTTCCCACTGAAACTGCAAATTCTGTGTGCTTGCTTCAAGAATTGGAGCAGGAAACTTGCCCCGAAGGCAGGAACTGCCTCAAAATGGATCAAAGGAATGGAGTATATCCAAAAATCTGATGCAGGGATTTATTTAAAAAAACATACGACTTCTGTATCACAAAATGAGACTCTACTAGCCAGGTTAAAATAAGATTCAAATTTAGCAGCTACCTCGTATTGTATTTTCCATGAAAAAATATTAATTAAAGAATAAACGCTAAAAGCTCATAGGCCAAATGCCGTATCCTAATTCAGGTATGTCTTTATAAATCTCTGATGACAACCACAAAACCCCCCCCCGACAACTGCAACAGATCCTTCCACTTCACCTCAACTCACTGATATGCCGTGCATTTGGTTTTAATCTTGGTCTGCCGAGTGACCCAGAGAATGAAATCTTAAGAAGAATAAAACTCTTATTAATAAATATTTCATAGTAAATAGTAAAGAACACACGTAAAATGATGTCACTTCACTAAAGGTACTATAAATCATTCAGATTTATCTACTGAGCCAACCAAACCACTTCAGGACCACCCAGCCAGACAGCAAAGCCAAAGAGTTTCTTTTGCTTTAACAAATTAAAGCAAAACGCTTTCTTTTAATTTCTGTCTATCGTCGTTGGCACCATCCTTTTCTTTCCAGATATATACACATTTTAAATGCTTTAAAAAAGTAAATATGAAGATTCATGTGAGAGCAACCTATTCATCAATTTGACTGCCAACACTGGAAAACCTGTCTAAATATTTGTGAGAAAGCTTAGATCTTTACATGCATGCTCTTCTGTTTAAAGACACAGTATTATTCCTACAACTAGCTATATTTTAGATACTTGTGACCCTGTTAGCTCGTAACAGCATGATTTTAACAGCCTTGTTTTAGTGATGTACAGCACCAATAGCACTTTGTCGTGTTACTACCAAACTATCATCTTGATATTCCTCGAGCTGAAGGTGTTTCGGGGGCTGCGAGTACATGGAGAACCAGAAGAGCAAACCGCTTTTATTCCCCGCTGTACAATTTAACCACCTCTCGAAACAGCTCTTTCCCCGCCAAGTCCCACACCACCACAGAGACCTCTCCCTGCCCCACTGCTCCACCCGACCCCGGCTCCGCGGCTCCGGGGGCTCCTTCCCGCCAGCACCGGCGGAGCTGCGGGCGGGCCGGGCGCTCCCGAGGGCCCGCACGGAGCCGGCCCGGCTGTCCCGAGGCGGCGGAGGAGCGGGAGCGGAGCCTGAGGGGCGGCGGAGCCGCGGGGCCGGGCGGCGCGGCCCGAGGGCGGGCGGACACTCACCTTGGCCGCCATGTTGGACGGCGCCGCGTACGGCGCGCGGGAAGGGCCGCGCCGGGCGGGGCCGCGGGGCAGGGGCGGGGCCGCGCTCGGGCCGGGCGGGACCGCCCGGAGCCGCCGTCGCCATGGGGCGGGCAGGGACGGATTACCCTCAGCCGGGGAGGGCATCGTTCCGAAGCGGGCAGGGATGATCCCCCTCAGCCGATATGGCCCCAGAGCGGGCAGGGATGATCCCCCTCAGCCAGGGCGGGCATCGCCCTCAGCCGATATGGCCCCAGAGCGGGCAGGGATGATCCCCCTCAGCCAGGGAGGGCATCGCCCTCAGCCGATATGGCCCCAGAGCGGGCAGGGATGGTCCCCCTCAGCCAGGGAGGGCATCGCCCTCAGCCGGCATGGCCTCAAAGCGGGCAGGGATGGATTCCCCTCACGCGGGGCGGGATAGCCCTCAGCCGAATACGCCCTAAAGCCGGCAGGAATCCCTCACAACTGCGGCGGGATCCCTACAGCGGGCAGGGACGGATCCCACTCATTCGTGGGGGGATAGCCCTCAGCTGAGATCGCCCACAGCGGGCGGAGATCCCCCTCAGCCGCCATCGCCCTGAAGAGGGCAGGGATCCCCTCAGCCATGGCAGTGATCCCCTCAGCCGGGGCGGGGACCCCCCGACCGGGCGGCATTGCCCTCAGCCGGGCTGTCCCTCGCATCGACAGCGATGCGCTCAGCCCGCATCGCACTCAGCCAGGATTACCCTCAGAACACACAAAATCCCCCATAAACACACAATCTAAGTGCAGATAATTCGTTTATTGAAGTCCAAATTTACAACTGAAGTTCACAACTTCCCCCCTCACCCCCCCCCAAAAAAAAAAACAAAACAAAACAAAACAAAACAAAAGCTTTGTTTGAATTTAGGAAGAATAAATGTTTGTTTTTGTTTTTGTTTCTTTTTTTTTAATAATGTACAGACTATATCTCTTAAATAAGTTAATATCTTTGAAAAAAGAGCAATATGTTCCTTTTTTTAATGTTGCAGTGCAACTTACAACTTACACGTCTGTGCAATGTACCATGAGGTATATGCCCAGTGAGCAACACACAGTGAAGTTTTCCATTCATAAATTTTCATTGTAGACACACAAAAAGTTAACAAGTTATTAATCTGTGATAGAAAACGCAGCCGGTTACAGTAATTCACACAGAACTCATCTGGAAAGAGGGAAAAAAGAAACCTAATGTTCATTGCCTATAGAAACTATTGGATTATCTCTCAACATAGACAAGTATAAAATTAAAAATACTGTTGTGAAACTGAAGAAATACTGTGTTATCCAGGGGTTGAAACCTCGTTTGACCTGTATTAGTCTAGAACCATTGGTTTTCTCTCTGTAGCATCCACGAGCTGAGGGATTTACTGCGGTACCGATGGAGCATCTGCTCGTCAAAGCATTAAGCACGATGGGCATTATAGAAAACTTGCAGAATGCTCAAAAACGTACAACTCCAACATTTTCCCTGGCATGGACAGGTGGTTTTCCATTGCCTCTCAGTTCATCTCCCAGCTGATTAGAAAAACAAGGCTGAAACATGGAAGATTACTCGTATTTGAAGCTTGACACTTCAAACTTCTCAAGATGGCTCTAAAATACTTATTTTTCTTAATGACAGAAAACAGATATTTATTTAAGAAAGAATCATCCACAATATAACTTTGTGATAAATAACAGTTCTGCCTCTAATACATATATACATACTGCTTGTAAACAAAAATGCCCACAGGTCATGGAGTCTCCATGATTTTTTTACAAGGCGCTATAGATTTTTATTTTTATTTTTATTTTTGTTATTGAAAACAGTCCTAGTGAAAGTTTGGTTTATAACCTCCTATTGCTACAGAAACAGTAAGAATGTTTATATTTACAAAGAAACAAAGACCATGGAGACCCCATAGCGTTATTTGCCAAAGAGTTGAAGTTGGTGGGGTTTGCAAAATACACGTTGTCAGCACGTTGGACAGGTTGAACACCAGCAGTACGATATTCCAGTGCTTTGGTATTTCAACCCCTGAATATACAAAGACATTACTACAGCCTACTTCACAGTTTAATGCAAGTAAAGTGCAAGCCATAGTACAAGGGTGTCATACATTTCCATACATGTAAGCGTTATCTAAAAAAGGCTCTGTACAAGGTTTATTAGCTATTTAGTAACCTAGATGGAAGTCACCTATGGCCCAGCAATTAATGGTCTTACAAGGATATTGTCTTTGTAATACAGTATGTGTCAAATGTAAAACGTTTATTAATACTAGTGCATTTCTCTTATATCCTAACCTGTTTTCTCATCAGAGTTTTCAGCTGAAATCCTTGTTTCTCAGTAAAACAGAAGTCTTAACTGGTAACAGGGTCTTACTGGTAATTTGGCCAGCAAACACAGTTTGTTAAGACATATTTGTTTTGTGGTTGCTAGTGAAAAAATGCAATAGTTAATATGTATAATGTGACATCCTTAGTTAATCTGCAGCATTCAGACACATTTACTGTTAGTAAAAACATCTGTATCGATACCCTCACCAACGCCTGAGGATGAACAATATTCTAGACATGTGAGGACAGAAGCTACAGGGCTTAGCTGGTCAAACAGCAGGTTGTCGACGTATTTGATCATTTTTACAACATTGCTTTCTTTCAAATACTGCTCATACAGTAGCATTAATGCTTAAAGTCCCCAACTGTCACTTCTAACACATGTATATTCTTGATAAAAATAAAGACATATCTGCCTAGCCTGCATTAGAGAGTGAATATGGTTCTTTTCCTGAAGGCAGTTTCTGTCTGAATTATTTAAATATTTTTATTAAGAGGAGGTCCCAGTAGTATAACACCTGTTTTCAAACCTGATAACAACTTAAACAATATTATTTATAAACCTCCTTCTGGATGTGCAAGAGTGGCATAACCCGTAAAATATAGAAAATAACCTTTAAAAAATGTTTCTTTTTCTATTAGTTATATCCAGAGTGGAGAGTTCCCTGCCACATGTTAGAGAGTGGAACTGATCAGAAACATCACATTTCATTTGTGTGTAATGGGAGCAAAGAAAATAACTATAAACATCAACTAAGGAAATACAACTTACTAGTTTTGGTTTAAATAGCCATGAAATTTCCATACATCAGCTGATACGGCTGAGATGTGATTTTCAGATGGGATTTTCAGTTCTGTGCCCACCTAACACCCATCAAGAGCCTCAGCCACACGGTGGGAATTCATCTGAGAGAGGAGATGAGGACCTTTCCCCACAGCATCCTGCCTGGGAAACCTACCCTGAGCCTCAGCTTTAAGTGAGGGAAACATTCTGGAAGAAAAAGAGCTTTTTAATACTGAATATAAATGAAAGCCTAATATTGCTTCTCCAGTCTTTCCTGTTATACCTATGTGGTAAATAAACATCATTGGGCAGCAGGGAAGGTGATGTGTTGTGGCCTAAGGAATGTGGTGCATGGAAAATCTGCTATGGAAAACCTGTGCCCTTCTGGCTGCCATAAAGCACCATTTCCCTACTGTGAAAACTGAGGAGAGAATAAAATCCTTTATGAGACCCAGCCCACACTTATTTCTGTAACATTAAATGTGGGGAACCCAGGTATGCCCGGAATGGGGCTCAGGCTGAGGCCCAGCAATGCAGCCAGGCCTGTGCTCTCTTCCTTAGAGAACCTCCCTAGGACTGGATCTGGAGAGAGTCAGAACCACTGTAGAGACACAAGACTTGCTTTACTGAGAGTATTTCAACTATAATTGAATTGCTGGTGGTATCCTCTAGTTCAGGGGCAGCTGACAGGCATTGCAGAGGGGCTGGGTTTGTTGTGCTGCATCGAGCCTTGGCCAAGGGTTATTTCACACAAACCATCTTTGAAGGACTTTGTTCCCCACTGCATGAAGGGTCTGTACAAACTGTTGGTGAATTTTCACAAAATAGCTCTGCTGGCAGAGCTGTCTCTCCTCAAGGATCAACAACCCCCAACTTTATCGCCTTGGTCATAAATACTGCTATTTTTGGCAGAAAGAATGCTTTTATCACTTTGGAAGACAGACCACATCAGGAAAGAATATGGCAAATAACATCTGTGATAATCTTGGCCTGATTTGCATTACTAGAGACAAAGATAAGAATGTTCTTTGCTCTCCTCAGATTTCTATCGAATTAAACAATTTCTACCAGATTCTTCATTTTTCTCCCAGAGGTCCTATTAACATTTAAAGTGAAATGTAAAGGTCAGCAGCAGAATTGGACCATTTTTGAGGAGGCTGAACCTTTCCCAGAGCCACTGTAAAGTAACTCCTTCAACGGTATCTGTACTGCCCTTCACAGGACCTTGGAGAACAAGCATTCTGTAACTGCTGAGAGGGGTGAGAGTAGACTTAACTGCCATGTACAATTCTCTGCAACACTCATTTCTTTTTCCTTGGAAAAAGCCAGTGGAGCACCACATTCCCAGCTCAAAAGGCAGCAGCCAGAGCTGAGTGTGCTGATAACAACCTCCTCCTCCTCCTCCTCCTCCTTTGATTTTTGTTCATGTCAATTAGAGCAAGCTCAGGGTAGTTTTCACTTAAAGTAATGAAGCCAAGAAAAGTGTCTTGGTTCTCTCAGGAAGTGATGCTGAGAGCTATTAAGACACTTTCAAAGATCTGACCTGTCACTGCATACAGAACAGTATTAAAAAAGGAGGGGAATCAGTAGCTCAGGGGGAGCATTAAATCAGTTGTAATGAAAAATAGCCAGTAACAAAAAGACTCAGCTTGTGGAGTGTCAGAGAAAGTGCATGGGCTGAGACATTTTACCTGAAGAAATTCTGAATGAAGATGCTAACTTTAATAAGATCCAGTTAAATAAAGCACATCCAAACAACATTTCCACGTTGTTGTATGTGTTAAAACCCAAGTTTTACCTGAGAATTTGGGCAGGAAAACTGGTAAATTAATAAATCTATTGTACAGGTGCTATTTGTTTCCCTTGATGAACTCAACAGCCAAGCCTTGTTCTTTTCTTATTTAAAAATATGTCATCAGAATGACCACAACAATTCCAGCTGCTTTGTACTGTGTGTTTAAGTACCTGTTTGTTCAGAAGAATTGGATGTATTTTAATACATAAGCAGGATTTGGTGCATGAATTTTTAAATATAGTATGTGTATTGCACTTTGCATTTCAGTGAGTTCAAAGGTGGTGAAAATCCAAATAATTGTGCTGTGGTGACCATGCACGTTCCTCTCTGCAGTCCATTTAGATTGGTACCAACATCAGAAGGAAGAAACCGTGGCTGAGAGGGAAGGGCTGCAGGGTGGGGTTGAGTAAATGTGGCAGGAGAATTATAAGTTCTTGTGCAATGGCTTCCAAATGCCAGCTGACATTTGTGAAAGAATAAAGTCTTTGTATTGCTTAATTTAGCAATTAGATTTTGCTTGCTCTAAGGCACAAGCAATGCCAGACAAATGGTTCAGACTTTTCTCCCAGTTAATCTTAAGCCCATTAGAGGGAATTTCTCCAGTGTATCTCATCTCATGAATCTCATGAATCTCCTGGACAATTTATTTGGCCTATTCAGTGCAAATCACATTTACTGAGAGCTGCTCTGCAAGAGAAGAATGCAGACTCACAGTCCCAAGAACTTCAGAAAGGATGATCTTATGACACGGAAAGATTTTTAAAGATAAGCTGAGCAAAAGTATGAATTCTCTACTATCTATTCATATTACAGAAATTGTATTTAAACTTAAAACAGAGATGATCTGTTTTCCCTATTACTTGTATCATTTCTGAGAAATCTATCTTCCCAATTTTGTTTCTCGTTTTCAGCTGTATCTCTAAGTAGTGTTCTCTGTTTTACTTGTGACTTCACTGAATATACTCAGTTATGTCTTGAGTGGTGAAGCAGTGGCATTTGAAATCCTTTTGGAAAGCTATTTGGAAATAATATAGATCTTTTCATTATGAAAGCACAAACCATCTTTTGGGTTTGAAACAATAGGCATATTTACATTTCTTTAGGAATTTAGATAGTTCAATCTATGTAACTATTTCTGTGACCATCCATCACTGCCTGCATGTATGATATGACAATTTCTAAATGGATCCTATAATTAACGCTTCTGCTTGCTGGAAATGAAGGAATAAAATTAAGACTGGAAAGAAGGGAGGAGGCAAGGGAAAGGTGTTTTTAATTTTGCTTCTCACTATGCAATTGTATTTTAAATTGTTAATAAATGAATTTTCCCCAAGTCAGGTTTGTTTTGCCTATGATAATCTGTCTTTGTCTCAACCCAGGAGCTTTCCCATTACATATTTTCCCCCTGTCCAGCCAAGGTCAACCCCCCTCAGCTGCTCTGTGGAGACAGAACTAAACACCCAGTACACCTTCACCTGGACTGGCTTTGGGAATAATGAAATCTGTTCCTGGATACTAGGACCTCACTGAGATGACATTTTTCCTCCGTTATACTGAACTGCATGAATTTTACAGTCCTTGATGGATGAGAGACAATTAGGTTTATCTTGTGAAAAAATGTTCAGTGAAATGACATCAGCTATATTCACATCCCCTTCATTCTACCTTTTAGAACTATTCTAGCAAGCAGAGTCAAAGCAGACTGTGAATGGCTTTGAAATCTATGTTCAATAGCATTCAGAGAAATCTTTTTTTTCCCCCCAAGAATACAAGTATTTTCCCCAAAATCTGATTCTTACAAACCATTCTCTCCCAGGCAAGGAAGTGAAATACACTGTGTGACTTGTGTGTCTTCCCAAACCAATCAATACCGATTGGTTTTCAAATGATGTTTTGAATAACTTCACCCACTTGCAAATATACTGCTAGCAGTTAAAAATTATTGCCAGACATTACATAATTTTGAATTATTAACTCAGCTATAGATGTCAGTGTATCACAGGATGTAATTGATTATTTCAGGAGGTTTTTTTTAAGCTTCCTTCTCATGCTTTTTTTGAATTTTGTGACTCACAGTCATGTGTCACTTAAATTCACAGTGAAGAAACGATGAAAACCTGCAGTATGTACCTTACTCAGTGCAGATTTTTTTTTTCTTTCACCATGAAATACTTCAAATCCTATTAAAACCAGTTTAAGTTGCAGCATTAGTGAACAACCAATATTGTTCTACTTGTGTCTTACCTCTGTGCCAAACCTGCTTGCTCGTGTTCCTTCGTTTAAAGGCAGGCACAGCACGTTACAAACACAGTATTTAAATGGCATGTACAGAGTGCCCATAGGGCCAGACTGGGATCTATTTCTTAGATGTACAGTGTACATTTTAAGGCACACTATAGGGATTGAGTTTACATTTTGACAACTCTGTCCTTTTATTTGCAAAGATGGTCACTAACTGGAAATGTTGCAAAAAATAAATGTTCATCTCTAAGAGTAGCCAATGTATTCATGTCTTCTTTTTTGTTTTCTCAAGAAAAAATGTGTGAAAATGTGAACTTTAGGGAAGTTTAAAAGGAAATGTCAACTACCATGTTACATTTTATATACATAGATATGTATTTATATATATCTAAATATATAAAATGATTGCAGGAGCTCATACTATAAGCTGAGTTTTAGTACAGTACTTTAAATATACTGGTATTTATTTTCAGTTACACTTCTGCACCGCTTCTTCCTAATGCAGAGCTTGATACGGACATTGGTTGATAATAGCAAACAAAAAATTCATAAAGAATATTATTGTCTTATCATGCAATGTAGTAGGCATCCTGTGGCACTATTCTCTTACCCAAGTATTTACAGCACTGCTGAGTACCTTTAGCAATGAATTCACCAGGGTTTGTGTGACTGCATCTGTCAGGCACCCAGCAGTGACCCAGGCCGAGCTCCTGTCACACGTGAGTCTCGATGAAGGAGTGTGTGTGTGTCAGCATTGGGGCTGAGCTTGCCAGTTCAGAGGCTCCATTTTGAGGCTTCCCAGCAGCACTGTACTCACAAATGTCCAGGAAAAACTCATAGTTCTTTAATTTCCAATCTTTGAACTTCTTGGATGTTAAGTTGGGATCATCCAGAAGGCTGTTGATTATTGTGAGGTCCCCTTCCTTTGCCTGGAAAATTCCAGAAAGATAGAGGACAAGACAAAATGAAATTCTGTATTTCAGCACTTTATGTCTTCTTTAATGCCAAGTGCCAAGAAAACTACTCTGGAAACTTTAATATTTACCTAAATTCAGGAACTATTACAGCATAAACTGTTTGACAGCTCAGTCTGTGCCACATGCTACAACGTGCCCACACAGAATGCCAAATAAACTCTTTTTTTCCTTAAGATGGAACATATTTGCTTTGAAGGATTTTTAGTTTCTTTGAAACTTCATTTTAAAGCTACCAAAAAAAAAAAAGCATTAACCATAGAAATGTAAAGAGGTTAAGGACATACATTGATATTAAGGACAAGGGCAAATGGCTTCACACTGTCAGAGGGCAGGGTTAGCTGGGACATTGGGAAGGAATTCCTGGCTGTGAGGGTGGGGAAGCCCTGGCACAGGGTGCCCAGAAAAGCTCTGGCTGACCCTGGATCCCTGAAAATGTCCAAGACCAGGCTGGACAGGGCTTGGAGCAACCTGAGCTGGTGGAAGGTGTCCCTGCCATGGCAGGGAGTGGGGCTGGATGGGCTTTAAGGTCTCTTCAACCCACCCGTATTCTGTGATGCACAATTAGACTTTTCCTAGTTTATATTCCTTGCACACAAGATCAGGGATAAAGCCTTACTTTTAAAGTGCTCTTGAGGACTCGGATGTGGTGCAGCTTTTCGTTGATCACTGGGTCGTTACAGCGCTTCACGAAGGACTTGCGGAACTCCTGCTTGGTGGAGGGACGCTGCTCTCCGAAAGCTGACAGACTGGCTTCTTCCAGAGTTCTGTAGAGCTCTTGCAGACCATCTGTGATTTCTTCAATTTCTTTTATGTTTTCTGAAAGGAAGGAAAGAAGCCTAACAACAAACCTGATCATTCAGACGAAGTCTCTAAAATCAGCAATACTGCAGCTTCAGTACTATCTTAACCTGTTAAGTTTTGGTGAGACAAGATCATCATCCCAAAGCTCAGTTTTTAGCACTACATCCTGGCATTTCAAGTACAAACTCCTGTCTTGGCCAACATCCAGCAGCTCAACCACAAAATCCTTGCTGAGAACAGTGGCAATACTGCTCTGGATTTTGATGGCAGTAAAGTGGATCAGAACATCTCCCAGAGCTTACCTTCTGCACAGAAACTATTGTGCCTTCTAATAGGAACCTTCTCATCCAGACTGTCGTCGGTCCCTTCAATGGACTTCACGCGCCCCTTCCCGCGGACGTCTCTGTTTCGGGGAAGGCTTTGGCTGCGCGGTTTCTGGGGCCACCCGTGGGAGCTGTGTCCTCTTGGACATTCCACCAGAGGAAAAGGCCCATCCTGCTCAAAATTGTGGCGCCTCTGGACGGGCAGCGTGGCTTGTCTCCGTCTGTCCGGTGACATTCCGGGCCGGCCGCTCGCGTACTCCGCCTCCGCAGGGACGGTCTGGAGGAAATGGAGCCCTGAGCTGGTTAAGGGAGTCTCTATCAGGTCCTGCCAGGAGCGCCGTTCTCGGTAGGGAGGTCGGCACCCCGAGGAGTGTGTGCTGCCCGCTGCGTCCTGCCGCGAGTCCTCGGCAGAGGAGTGGGAATATGTTGATTCACTGGAAAAGTGTCGGCCTTGTTTGGCTTCGGGGAATGGGCTTGAAGAATTCACCTGGAAAGATACAAAAACATCTGCCCATGAGATGATGTTTTGAACAGACCCAAGGAAATGACTGTAGTGTAAAATAGTCTATGATATCTAGTTAATCAGATGGACTCATGGGTTTGATTTGTCATAACATGAACCACTGTAAACAGAAGAGAATTAGCAGCGACAAGTTTTATATAAAAGTGCTCTTTTAACCACTCCCTATTCTTGTTTTGCACATTCTCTGCCCACAAGCAACTCCTGATGGAAAGAAAAGTGTAACACTGGTGCAGGTTTCCTGAAGACCCATCCAGCTTACAATCAGTCCAGCTGAGGACAGTGGAAGTCTCCAAAAGAAACCATAATCAGATTTCCTTTCTTTTTTTTTAGGGGCCAAACTGAAAAAAAAAAAAAAACAAAAACCAAACCCAAGCAACAAAAACTTCAGCACCCAGAAAGATTTTTGGCTGGGGGACTGTTGAACTTGTGAAACTGTTTGAATGAATTTTCTGGGTCTGTGTATAAATTTAATTCAAAATAAAGAGAAAGGCAAAAATGTGGAAAAACAGAAAGGGAGAGGCTTAACCTGTATCCCAGTTGATAAAACAGCATCACATGGGTGAAAATCAGTCTGAACTTCACCCATGTGATGCTGTTGTCTCAGTCACTCTTTGGTTCTGGCTGTGTGAGGATCATGTCATGTCACTGACGCTGAAGAAAAATCTGAAAGAAAAATAGAGAACAGTCCTATCTGTGCTTGGAATCATAGAATAATTATCATAATTGCCTGTGTTTTGTCTAATGGAAATGTTCTATTTGCAATACCATCATTACCATGGTATTGTACACAATCTTTCCTAGAAAGATTTGTTCTTCAAAAAGGAACTAAAACATGATTACTGGGTGAATGTGAGCTGATCTTAATCTCTAGCATCCAGTATCCAATATTCATAATTGAAAACCACTCTCAATTAATACAAACTATCACATCCATCACATTCTTCTCATATTCTGCAGAGAAGGCAAAATTTGAATATTCTGTTCCTGTTATGATATGTAGTTTTACCAATCCTACAAAAAAAGATCATGTTTCCAGTCTGGTGACAGATCTGTGTCAGGAGACTTTTACCTCTCCTTCCTTTCTAACTGATTTGCTATGGAAAAATCCAGGTTTTGGCTCATGAGGAGCAGCAGTAATTTCATTTTTACAATCACATCCGGCTTTGTGACGCTGCCTTTATGGTGTTTAAATATCCTGGGACAAGGGCAGTGCAAGTCAAGGCCCAGAGGTGTTTTTGGTGGCCTTGGCCACGTGCAGAGTGGTGACTCACTGAGGGGGTGCGGTGGTAGGTGTCACACAGCGTGGAGGAACCCTCCTGCTTCAGCGTCAGGGAGCCGTCCATGTCGTCCTGATCGCTCTCACTCCAGTAATCTGCTGACAAAGCATTCCAGGTCTCACTCGGGTGCTTTTCCACAAGCAAGCACATCCCACATTTTAGCAACATCCTTCCATGGCACGGCAAACGTTGCCCAGCCACCTGCAGGGCTCAGCAGCCGCTCAGGAACGGGCTGGTGGAAGGTCTGACACCTCAAGCAGGGAGTGCAGGAAGCTCTGAATGCTTTAGGGAAGGGTTGCAGAAGGCAGCTCGGGCAGCTGACTCCCACTGCACATAGAAAAACCAACTTCTGCTCACAGACTTTGACACAGAAACCTCATTGCAGATGCTGAAGTAGAGCCAAGCCTGAACACTTAATTTAATTGGGCGTAACAGGTTCCACCGTGGGTGATGGGGAAAGGACAAGGCTGGCACCTGAGCTCAGGAGGTGCAAACAAATATTGCTGAAGCACACACTGCCCCAAGTCTGCCCTGTCTGCTCTGGGTTTAGGGGGATGAACATCCCTGAGGGCTGGGATCTGGGAGATCACACCTCACCCTGAACCCTGCAGTCTCTTTATCACTAATTTTAAATATTTCTTAAAATTACTGCTTAGGATTTTATTTTCTTTGGTAGTGGAACCAATAAATGTAGTTCTTTGAGGAAATGTATTCTTATCAAAATTGGTATTTGGAAAGATATGGGCATATGTTGATAAAGAAGTCAGTTATGACCTCGCCGGCTTTATTGAAATACTGAACAGATTTGTACTGCCTGCTCTCTTCTCCTAATTATAATCACTGAAGCATTACCTTCATCTGGGTGAATATCCTTGTCATCAGGTGTGTAACCGATTGCTGCGAGACCCAAACGATTCATCCATCTAACAGAACGATAAAAATGAGGAATAGAGGTATTTAAAAGGAACATCTCATGTAAATCTGAAGGCATCCACATCCTTAACATCTGGAAAAGTCAGACACAACTCCTAAACAAAAAGGCTCTTAAACCCACAATTCTGATGCGCTGGGTGGTTGATAACTGGGAGCTAAGGATTTATCACATTTATTCTGATTGCTACTTATATTTATTTCAAGAACTTGCCTGAATTGCCAAAATACTAGAAAATAAAATAGAATTATGATAATTATTGTCTGAAAACCTGTGTTGGGAAATGAGTTGTATTAAACTTACATTCTGAGAAAGCTAAAACAGCCTATGGCAGTTTGATTATTCACAATGCTGGTGATACAAACGCTTTGTGTTGTTGAGCTGTGGTATCAACATTATTTTCCCTTAATTTGTTTAATACAGATTTTTTGGGTTTCTAAAGTCTTGGTAAACTGGAAGTGCTTCAATATTTGCATTTTGCATTGGATGTGCTGGTTTCTTTCTTTGTCCTCAAATTATTTCATTCGATAGAAAATAAGATTCTTTACTTCCTTAGGGAAATACTGTAGTTCATCTTGGGGAAAATACCTTTTGAGTTTTGTTTATGTAAGATTACTGGATGTTTATACAATATATAATTGAAAAACTAGGGAAAAAAGGAAATGAACACACAGAGAGAAAAGTCACTTCTTAATGTTCAGCAAATGGAAAATCAAGAATTATATTCTTTTCATCAACAAGGAGATATAACTGAAGAAAAAAAGCACTTATAGTGACATCTGTAATGCCTGGGATGTTTTGAAACATTCCCTTCCTCGGTGACTAAATTCTTAATTATCTAATTAATTTCCCAGAAAATTGATGTGAGAGTTTATCTAGAAGCAGCTCTTTTTTCTTTTTCGAACATTTTTAACATCAAATTTGTTAATAATTATCATATTGGTTAATGAATATTATAATGACAAAAACATCTTTCACAGGCCTCAAGTCAGATATTAGTGAACAGTACATGCAATACCAAAAGGACGAGTTGTTTTGCAGATTAAAACAAGAAAACTGTTCAGTGTCATTCTTTCCCACTTGTACTAGAGGAGAAAAAAAAGCTTTTAAGGACATATGTGACTGTTATTGTCCAGGAAAGTGGTGTGTGGGAGATGGGAGGCACAGCAAGGAGGCAGAAAATGAAGGAAGAGTGAACTCTCCACTAAAAATAGCACACAGTTCAGCACGTATTGATCCCTGCTCCCAGCAGCTCTGCAGAGGCTCCCAGCAATGATCTCCAGCTCCAATATTGATACAGCACTGACTCACTGCCTGGCTGCACAGAGCCTGCCACGGAGCTCATGGCTCTCCTAAGTAGCCAAAGGGGACAACAACACTTACTTCTTACAGGGTTTAATTTACTTGCAAAACTATGAAAGCAAAGAACTGCACAATCATATTGCTTTGCCTCTCAGTATTAAGCCAGAAGTGAGCAAATTGGAGATGAAAATGGAAATGATGATTAGTTTTCCCAAGCTTAGCACTGCTTACAGCCGCTGTTTGCATCAACACATCAATAACTCATCTTTATCATGAGGGAAGTACATTTAAAATGGATTAACAGATTTACAGAAGTGCTCTGCAGCATCATTTCCCTCAGCACATGGTGCCTGCATCGCCTGGCATTTGCTTCCCTTGCAGGGCAGATCCTTTGTTGCAGGAATGGCAGTGACATCATTCCCTGCTCGTTATCAAGCATTTGTATTCACCAGTTTTTCATCAGTTGTTCCCGAATTTCTGAACTCATTAGCACTGGAGCAAAATAGTTTTAGTCATACTTTGCCATATGCCTTTGGCAATTAAGCAGGATGGCTCAGTGCCTTCAACTGAGGTTCTGCTTAAGCATCAATGATAAATTAGGATTAATTTCCATTTTCCAAGTTAAAACAGACTTAGCCATTTGTGTGGTCAATGCATGGAAATTTATATTGTCTTAAATTTCTTGCAAAATTTCTTTTGTTGCTCATTGTTAATCATTGTTAAATTTGAGGGTGTCACATCTTGGAAGCAAATATAGACACCAGATGAAATGTTAGGATTAGCCTTCCAGAGCCAGGGATGCTCTGAGGATACCCAGAATATCAGCTTTATATATGTGGCCTCCATGGCCAAATCTGGAATTAGCTGAAGTTAATCTTCCTTCTGTAAGGCTGCTCAGCTTTTTCTCTTCCCAAGGCCAAGATCATCCCCAGCTAGACTTACAAGGACTTTCTTACCTCATTTACCACAATTCAGAGTCAGCTCTTGGTCAAGCCAACATAAAGGGTTAGCTGATGACATTCAGTGGCTTATCATGACAAAATCTCTTCAGATAAAAGAACTAGAATCTCCATTTTAGGTTTTGTGTTTTTAAGAAAAGCATGAGTGAATGTTTCTGAGGTTAATCAGGAGATATACAAGTGGTGAGATTACAGCTCATTTTCTTACAGTTAATTTTTTTTCCCAAGGAAATGCAAACTCAGTTCAAAAGGAACCCTGCATAAACTTGATGAATTTCCTTGATGAGCAACCCACTTCCATTTTTCAGAAAACTGCAGGTTTTTCAAGGTTATAAAAAGCTCTTTGTGGAGAGCTTGGAAAGGCAGGCAGTTGGTTCTGAGCTGTGTCCCAGGTGCCCTGTGGGCAAAGGTTGGGTTCCAGCTGGCACCGGGAGCTCCTGCTGGAGCTGGACTCCTGAGGGTTGGAGGATGCACATCCCATGGAGGGTCTGTGTGCTGCACCTGCCAGCACAGCCCCGGGGCTGGAATGCTGACTGGGGTCCTGGAGCTGTGCCCCACCAGCTCGGGGACTTCCCCGTGGCCACAAGGAGGCCTGGGCTGCCCTGGCAGGGCACCTTTGGGATCTCAGGTGCACAGCCCCGTACATCGACCCCAGCCTGGGCTCCCTCCCCTGGATAACTTCAACAACTCTTTCCTGTTGGTAATTAAACACCTTAACCAGCATGTTTCACTGAGTCTAGGCCACCCAGCAGAACATGGGGTTTGCATTCTGCATGGAAATTGTGATGACACAGAACAGCACTAAATGTCCCACACATCCTCTGCCACAACATTTTACCTCCAGGATTGTACAAATCCCCAAGAGACATAATCATCACTTACCAAGGCACGTTGTAACAACCTACAGGGAATCAAGAAGTGGGTTATTTTTTATTGCCTGCACTCCAGTGAACAAAGCAAGGAAAGATGAGCCTTGAATAAAGTCATCAAAATGCACAAGTTTTGTACTTTGTCCCAATTAAATTCTAAATAAATCAGTCTTGGTAGTAATTAATTATGTTGGTTACAAACAGGCACTGTTGTCATTGCTTTGGGATAAAATAGAGCTGCCTGGTAGTATTTAAGTTAAATTTACTGAGATAATTCTGGTTATTACCCAGGGATTACAGCCCAGGGCCTCTTCTGAGAGTCTGATTCTGCCCCAGGCTGGGGCTGTGCTGAGTGAAGGCAGCAGGGCAGGGAGGAGCTGTCACAGCCTGAGACTGAAGAGTGAATCATCCTAAAACACCCTGAATTGTCAGGAACCAGGAGCACATTCACCTGCTGACAGAAACACTGGGAAATGTTAAAGGGGGCCAAACAACTGGAAACAATTGCACATTGCTTTGCTCCCCTAACACTGTATTGAAAACAAGAATATGCCACTCCTCAATGTACAAATTAATACATTGCTGTGTCCTGGCTGTTGTAGTTTACTCTGCTGAGCAGGGGCTGAGCAAGCCCAAGGTCAGTGGGAGGTTCTGGGAGTGAAGGAAACACAAGTTTCCACAATGGCATCACACTCACCCCCTTTGGCTGCTCCTTTCTACAAGTCCAGAGTGAAAAAAGCACAAATAAAAAGTAAAACAACTTGGAAAATCTCAGTTGTTATAAATTGGAGAGAACTATTTTGTTTAGTGTAGGAGAATGAAAAGCAAGGGAAGAGGATAACCTTTTTTGACTTCCTAGAAAAAAGGGGTGAAAAGTTACAATTATTAGGTTATAACTAGAACTGTTCCATAAACCCATGGAGAAGGAGGAAAGAAAAGAATTTCTGTGGCTCAGAAAAGTTTGATTTGCTGATATCCTCACTTATTGCATATACCAAGTGGCTGGGTTTAGAAAAAGCTATTTAATTCAAATGAATATGTAAAAAAATTATATGTCGTGAAAAGGTGTAAATTCAAGAAAAAGTCCAACTGTTTTCACTATTTCTCTCTGCTAAATATTCCTTTAAAAATGAAGTCTATGAAATCATGACACATTAACAGAAAGATAAATAGAATATATTTCCTATCTTGTATCTTTTCGTCATTAATTCTTGCCCTTGTACACCACCTCAGCTTTGTGTTAGAAATGTTTCAGTGCAGAAATATTTCTTTCTTCATTTTTGAGATTGGGTTTACATTTGAGATTATTTGGTTAAAATGCAAAACTAGAACAAAGTGGAAGTTAAATTTCATTTAAATCAAGTTATGTTTAAGTATATTAGAGGTTCCCTTGAACCATTTATTTTACACATAAAATTTATTGAGTGCGGTTTACATTTAATTTCTGATCAAAAGCTTTGTATTATATTTTTTTGTCACTGGGATAATCAGATTCCAGAATTCACAGTAAAATTCTTTGCAATACACAATTAGATTTAAAAATTGATTTTGTACTTGTTATGTGGACTTCTCTGACCAGTCTTTCTTACTGAACACCTGCAAAATCAATGCATTTCCCATTTGACTTCCTAAGGTACATTATTTTCTCTATTTTCTATGATTATGCAGGTAATACATTCATTTAAGAGAATAAAAGGTGCTCTAATAGGGGTGGCTGAAATGATGCCTTGGGTTTCCTCTGCACAAAAGGAGCCCCAAAGCATCTCCTGGTGAAATGTGACCCTGAGCAGATCCTTCCCCTGAGCTCATCTCTGCCCCTGTACCAGCCCCCAGCAGCTCTGCCTCTGCTGTTTGATTTGTCACACTTGCTGGGATTTGTTAAGCAAAATCATTCATGGGATAAACTCTGAGCACTCTCTGATTTGATAATTTGAAATGACTGTTGATCTTGTTTCATGCATTGTCTTCTTAGATTTGTCAGGCTGCAAAAATCGGAAAAAAGCCTGAGACAACTTAAGACAAGTGAACCAATCTGTGCCCTCTTTGCATGTGCATCTGCTTTATGCCCTTAATAGGATTTTTTTTTTTTCATTTTTAATTTTTTTAACTTTCCTCTGTCAAATGCACAATTATGTCTCTGTACTACAAAGTCTGGTTTGGTGTGGGTGTTTTTTGTTTGTTTGTTTTTGTTTGTTTTTCACAGTGTGTAATAGACAAAAGAAATTAACTGCTTTGCAGCAAATAAATTACCTTTCTGGTACCAGCATTTTACTGTACAAACACAGTCGTGTATCACAGAGAATAAAAGCACACAATAACTGATAGGCTATTTGATCCAGAACCAATAATAAAGAAATCACCAAAACAGTCACAAAAACTCACTCAATTGGAACTTCTCCTTACTCACTTCCTCAAACTTTTGCTCCAGCTTTCACCAAATGATTGGCCCAAAGGAAAGCTCTGGAGAAAGAAAGCTTTGTTTACAAGCAAGAGAACTGAGCTTAGCATGGCATAAACTGTGGGTGGGGTTTTGGGGGTTAGAGGTGAATTTTTTAAAGAAATGGAATGATTTACTTGTGAAATTGTGTAATTCTGCTTCTACATAGTTTTTAAAGACTCAGCTCAAGTAGGCCAAATAATGCTGTTAAATGCCTGGCTAATTCATTATGATGAAATTTCTTATTTCTATTATTTCTTATTTCTATTACTAATCTTTAAGATTTGGCTGAGTTAACTCAGCATCTCCAGCATAAGGTGACAATGGGGACTGTGACACACCTTCACCTCAGAGGGGCAGGGCTGGAATCACTAAATCTGCTCTATGAGATGCAGCTGAGCTGCTTGGCTCCCAGAAGAACTCTAGCAATTCACACTGCTACTATTCACAGCAGAATTTGAAGAAGTTAATTTTGTAATTGAAGCTGGTGCAGAAAGCCAGTGCAGATCCTCCTCCTGCACGAGGGATGAACTCCCCCAGAGCTGATTTGGGTGGTGGTGGATAAATCACAATTGGGCACTGCAAACTCCATCAGCCACTGGGGCTGGGATGGAGTGAGGGGGGAAATGGAACTTCACAGTCTAGGGTAAATAGTTCATAAATTGTAAAAAGGAGGAGCCAGGTGACTTGCCCAGAAAAGGAGGTTTGGGATATTCCAGCTCAGTGCTAGGAATTCCTGGTGCAGTGTTTTGCCCAGACAGGGCACAGCAGCTCCACGATCACCCTGTGCACTCCCATGAACATCGTGGTTTCACCCAGCCCTTGGGACCTGCAGCTAATTCTGATCAGAAAATTGTTTTACTTGTGCTGCACTTAGGAGCTTTTATGTGAGAACAATAAATTAGAGGGCTGGCGTGGCCTCAGGCACAGATTTGAAACAAGTTTATGGGAATATAAAAGGAAGAAAGGCAAACCTGCTCTTTATGATTATTTACAACACCATTGGGAAGCTCCATTCCAGGGATTTCTGTTTGAAAAGTACCTTTCATGTTCTGCAGAATTATCTCCTGGCTTTTCAGCAGGTAAGGGGCTGAGAGTAAGAGCTCTGTGAAAACTTATTCAGCTCTATTTGATGAAGAGCTGGTGAATTAGGCCAGACAGATCTGACAATCTCCTGCTCACTTGTCCAGTTTAAGGGGGAAAATGTCTAATGGGGAATCAGGGCTGAAATTTTTGGTTGCCAAGAGTTTTACTTGGGTGCTACTTTATATAAAGGGAAAACTAAGTGCACTGAAACTGGAAAAGATATGTTAATCCTGGCTTGCCATCTGATTTGGCCAAGACCTGTCAGAGAGACCAACAGGCCTGAAATTTAAGGGAGAAAACTGAATTATCTCTAGTAATAGACAGGATGACTTAGGGAAAGTCTTGAGTAACTTACTTTGTTCTACTCCATATGTAAAAGTAGATTGGAGACACCATAAAATTTGCTTATAATCAATAGAAATTTAATTCAGAATACATCAATTTTCAAACAGTATTTTTTTAAGAGAAATATTGTGCTATAATCTTTCAGGTCTTGGAAAATATAGGAGTGACCCCTATAAAAATCAATCATCATTCTGTTTCAGAAGTAACTATTTGCTATATTTCTTGAATGAACGACAAAGATTTATGGGAGTTATTAAAATTGCAAAGTTAACCCAGTTATTCAAATCAAGAGTGATCAAATTATTCAGTCTAAAATAGAAACTTTAAAAAATTTAGTATTTGGAGTCCATGATGAGATTGCAAATGCACTGCACTGCATTTCAATGGCTTGTAAGTTTTAAATAACATAGATATTGTAAAACAACCAAATATTAAATTCAATGCTAATTAAAGTCATAAACAGGTTATGTGTGGTGTGGTAGGAGATGAAGCACTTCTGGGAAATAAGGCCTTTAACAAGCTTGGAGTAGCAAGCTAGAGATGAGCTCATCAAGTTCATTATTAATTCATTTCTAAGAACACGGCTCTGCTCGTGTAAGACCTGACAAAACAGCACGAGCATGAATTTTGCAAACCTGAGTAACACAGCAGGCAAAACTCAGCCACAGCTGAGTGCCTCAGAATAATCCAGCCCTACCTACTGGGGTCCAACTCTTCCTTCAGCAATGTGGGGTTAAAGGCACACTAAAATATTCCAGAGTGGAAAAAAAAATAAACAATTAATCTGGGGTGAGAAACTCTAAAAAGAGCTGTTAAAATAGAAGTGGTTGAAGAGAGGATAAAATTCCCCTTATAGTGAATGAGGAAAATTCCTCTCCATGCCAGGACTCCTTCACTTTTCAGCATGAGGGATCCCCCCTTCCATCAGCAGGGAAAATCCAGTTAAATTCTGTGCTGAAAACAGGAGTGAGAGATACCACATATAATATTTGCTCTGTTTCCTCACATTATGGGGCTAGCAATTTGCTGGGAAGAGAGAGATTTGTGGAATCAGTATTTTAAACACATTTTTTCATCTATGAATCTTGCTTCCTCATTTCAAATTTCACCCAGGATCTCTGGGAGAAGGAATTGTAAGAGCTGCAGGGGTGCCCAGGGATGTTACAGAGGTAGCAGAGTTATCCATCATTGGGGTGGGGAGTGAATTCCAATTGCTCTGCAGGGACAGAATTGCTGAAGGGAAAATACTGCACTAAATACTTCAAGTAGAAGCTCACCCTTTGCTTTCTTCTCAAAAAATCAGGGAAAAAGCTCTTGTAAATTCCAAAGTCAATGATGTTTAGGATGGCATGGTATGGAAGCACATGCTGGCACCTTCCCAGCTGCTTCTGTGCTCCAAGGCCTCACTGCAGCTTCCTGGGCTCCCCATGGAAAAATCAATGGATGTTGTAAAAGCAGCTCATTGAACATGTGTCAAGACTTCCTGGTTTTCCTTGAGCCAGAACATTTTATGTATCATTTATAGATAGGATCAATGGCACTTCGACAAACGAGAGCTACCCCAGCAGCTGAAATCAAGGGAGACCAGGCAGAGTTAAACCAGCAAAAATCCTCACTTCACTTTTGTCCAAACAAACCTGAACCACACCACAGAACTGAGCAATGGAACATTGACAACCTTGACAAAATATTTTTCAGCAAACTTGCACCCCGCAAATATTCCGCTCCTGGTAACTGAGGCTCATCACCCTCTCACTCCAGGATGAACAGGCCTCCACACTTCACCCCAGCATACCAAAGCCATGTAAGCCACAAAATAGAAATGTTCAATTCAACAATGGTTTTTAGGCTTTAATATTCCAGAAAAACCCCATCCGTATCTGTCTTTCCAAGCTGGCAAGCATTAAGAACTGTAAGTAAGAACATCTCAAAGTTTCAGTTATCTGTGCCAGGAAAGATTTAAGACTTCCCAGCATGGTGACCTTGTCCCAGGTGTCCTTGTGCTTTCCACCTCAGCTGGGAATAAACAAATTTCTGAGGTAACAGGAAGAGGGAGCACATCTGACTCTGCCTGCTGGCATCTAAGGCCCTGTCCCACCTTCACAATCTCTGTCCTCACCACTGAGTCACAAAGGAGAAGCACGGAGTAATTTGGGGTAGAGGAGCTCCCAGGAGGTGCCTGTTCCCACACCCAGCCACAGCAGGGTCAGCTTTAATGCTGGATCAGGTTGTCCACTGCCTTGTCCAGCCAGAAGTTTGGAATGTCCTCCCAGCGCATCCAAGGACATTTAAAACTCACTACAACACCAAACATGGAATTTTCCTTGCCTCTGCTCTATGTTAGGACAGTGATGTGGAGAATAAAATTAATTACTGCTGATATTCTGTGTTGTTGGGGGTTGTTCTTGGCATTGGAGGAAAAAAAAAAAAAATATATATATATATATATACACAGACATATCCCACCACCTGGGTGTACTCTGTATGAGCTTTGATGCTTTGATGTGGTTATGTTGTTTAATACACCAGAAACACTGATCCCACTAAGACTTCCAGCCTTTACCTACAAAACATCACAAGGGTGATGAACCTTAAGCTCATCAATGAAAGAAAAAATTCTAATGAACATAGAGACCAACACAAGTAACTTTCCTTTGCAGAACTGAGACGTGTCATGGCAGGAAATGTCAGCAAAGTGAGCCACAGAATGTGACGTATTTACTGAAATTAATGGAAAACTAATTCCTGAGAACACCATGAGCCAGCATCCCATCAGGCTTCAGGAGGATATTCCTGTGTGAGCTGAAATATTGAAGCAGCAGGATAAAGGACATCCCACAACAAAGGGGACACACAGCTCACCTGTTCATCTCTTCAAGGCAGTCGGTTGCGAAGTAGAAGCTCTTTATTTTGGGGTGACATGCTTTGAAGGCACTACAAAAAAGAGCACAAAGAATAAAAACCACATTTTCTTTCAAACATCTTGTCTACAAATACACCAGACTGTCCTGCTCTATGATTCTTCAGCATGTTACAGGTTTCATAGGTATTTTTCATCTTCAGTCTGAATTTTGCTGCCTAAATTTATAGATGGATTCCCCCTGATCTGATTTCATCTACGATTGTGAGCCTCATATTTTGCAAATATTTCAAAAGCACTTGAATAACTTAAAAATAGAAATCCTTTTGATAACCACTGATGTTCTACATCTAAAAAATTCTTGGGTGAATTTGAAAGTCTTATTGAATATACTCAAGTACATCTAAGTTGTATTCCAAAGATCAGCTAAAGGAATAAATGTTTGATCCCCGCCTCACCTCTTCTCATGTACTTGATGACTGTTTCATGTTCTACAAAAAGAAATGCAGAGGGTTGCCAAGTTGAGCTAGAAATCACTGGAATAATGGATAATAGTCAGATGGCATGGGTGATTATAGTTCACATAAATGCTTTTTATTAATGCTTTTATGTGCTCTAATCCCTGAGATCTCCCTCAGCTGAGCAGTTGAAAACTGCTAAGAACAATAATCACAGTTTTTACAAATTTTTTGTGTGGGTATAATGAAAAGGAGTTTTGCTATCAAGGAAACCAGAAGGTCCCAGCATTACAGACTATTAATTTGCTTAGCTGGCAAATGCTAAAAAAATGCCACACTATTATTCATAACATTTATGTTAAAATACTGACATTTATATGGTAATTACCAGATGTAAGAATTAGATTAGGAATCATTACACGTGGAATTATGAAGAACCTGTGATGCAACGTTTCCACTATTAATAGCTTAAATGCAAATAAGTGTTTTAATAATTACTATGACTTATTGCAGTTTTCAAAGACAAGATGAAAGCTGAAGAAGCTTCACCTGGGCACAGTGATTTTTTAATATATATAATTAATACAAATGCATCCAGTAATAGCTTTCCTGACAAAAGCCCTACAGCAGAGTTGTATTTCTGTGCAGTTTCTTTTTTCACGACATTGGGGATATAAAGGGTAAGGTTATATTTGCACAGAGGTTTATCATTAAATATTAAATTCCATAAAAGAAGACTGTAGAGGTATTTAAGTGTTGTTTTGGCATCTGGACAGTGATAATTTCCACTGCAAAGCCTCACTGCCCTAGCTACTGGTACTTTGTAAATCAGAAAAGTGAGTGACTGAGAAATCCCACACAAGGATTCCTGGTGCCCACTAGATGGCACAGGCTTGTTAATTATCTCTCTTTTCCTCATTATATAAATGCAGTTTTAAGTATGCTCTGATACACTTCATGCTTTCTTTTAACTGATTGGTATGATATGGTTTTAATGTCAAAAATTCTTATCATTTTTTGTCTTCTGCTTTTGATGTGGAACTTTTTAATCCCCCTATGCCAGCTGAGTATCAGCAACTCCAATGGTTCTGTGGAAACAGCTGTGGGTAAGAAAGGTGGAACAGCTTTGTGTGTTTGTGAATTAGAGCAGTACATGGCACATCTTTCATTACACAGAGATTAGCAAATACTGTACTTTCAACAGAAATTCCTTACACTACTACATTTTTGATGCTTAAAATAGAAAATCATGACTAAACAAACACTCCTGCATAGTTCTACTGTTGGTCTGAACTCCCTGCAGCGTCTGCACCTTCTCCTGCTCCACTTGCCCAACCATCTCCCAGTGGGATTGGCTTGGATTGGAGAGGATTAGGTCCTGGATCTAAAGATCCTAATCCTCCTGGCTAATCCTGAGATGCTATCACATGATGGAGTTTCTGCTTGTAAATAGGATTATTTTCCTAGACAGGAAATTTAAACACATAGAGGCATTCAAATGCCAGTATTGGGTTTCAAGTCAATGTTAATGGGTGGAAGTTAGTTAGTTCGCCTGTAATGTGATAAAATCTATGATTAGTGGATCATTTTCTAGTGGAATGTGTCCCTGCCCGTGGTAGGGGTGGAATGGATGATCTTTAAGGTCCCTTCCAACCCACACGAGGCTGTGAGCCTGTGATTATGAGAACATTTTACATTCTCACAGAACCCTGCCTAGGTTAAGGCACAGAGAGGTGAAATCAGGAGTATGCAACAGGTCAGGCACTGTCTGCAGGCTCCTGGCTCAGCTGTTACAGAACTTGTGAATGTGTCATAAAATGCAGAAAGAGCAGGAATTTTGTCAGGGTAAATCAGTTAAATGCTGCAGGTCTGGCTGCTTTTGCAAAGGAGTTCCCCAGCAAACAGCTCTAATTGGTTACCATATGAATGTTCCTTGAGATCCTTCTGCCTGATATTGTGATAATTTCCTGAGATAGTGAACATTAAAGCTGCAATAATGTATTCACTGTTACATATCTGCAGACTGAAGAAGAGAGATCTTTATTGCTATGAAATGGAGATCCCAGCTCTGTGCAAACTTGTGATTTAAATGTATTGCAGTTCTGTGTCAGGACTGCAAAACACAACAATAAATCCATCTTCCTCTCCCAGCAGTGTCACTAAGATTATTATTAGGGAAGTGTTTAGATACATTTCTAGCATTAGGAACTGCAGTCTCCAGGGGAACAATTTGAGCTGTATAAATATGAATAATTTAGAGGAATTATATCTATATATTTACATTTGGCTTGGCTTGGAGGGCCTCAGACTGGCTGCAATAATCAAGATGTGGGGTAGTGAGTGCCAGTTTAAAGAATAATCCCTCCATCCACTGGCTGCACTCCAGTTAACACAGCCCAGACTTTCTTCCCTGTGGGGGCCACTGGTGCTCAAGGAGGCTTTGCTGTCTGCAAAGACTGTCAAGTTCTTTTCAGAAATAATAAAATTATGAAACTGTAGCAACATTTAAGCTGAACCTTCATGTCTGCCTGTACTACAATGACATTTGTATAGAGCTCTGACTGCACACTTTCAATATGAAGTGCCAACACTGTGGCATATCCTTGATAAATTTAAGACCCAAATTTCCATTAACTAGGCAATGAAAATTTTCACTAGGTGGAAATCGTTGAAGGTTCAGGCAAGGCACCAGTTGATAAGGATTAATTATACCTGTGGCTCAATTAATCTTTATACTTAGGGATCAGCATCATCATGGGGCATTCTAATTACCAGTATCTTTGAAAATAACACGATATTCATGTCATGCCACAGCATACTAACTCAAATAACTATAATTTCTCATACACTGTGATCACTTTTAATCAGGAGGATGCAGGTGGTGCCTAAAAGCAGTGGAAAGTTTTTCAGTGGCAATGAAAACGCCTCCTTTCACAGGGACAAGGTCATTGCACGTCCAGTATAGCCTGGAGAGCTGCAGCAGCCTGAATAATGCCATGGCTCCTGAAATAATCAGGGTACCTTCATTAAATGCATTACTGAGGCAAATCATCAAACCATACCAACTGATGCATTCAGTTATCTGTATTCTTGTGAAAGCTTTCTTAGGGCGATTCCATCACTGTGGGCCATGGACATCAGGAGCAGCCAGGCTGGGGAGCAGAGCTCCCCCTCCAACAGAACAGTGGGGAAGAGAAATCCATTAATTATCCCAGTAAGTCTTCAAATCCTTTCCTTTCAAAAGGGTTTGAAAGTTTCACATCAATAGCTCTGAAAATAACAGAGATCTGAGGGGAAATCCAAACTGAGGTCCAAAACTTTCTTAGTTCTGCACTGGGGAGAACTGAAGGAAAAGTGACACTGTGGCTTTTCACTGGAATCAGGCAATGGAATGATACTCACTCCTGGCCTTGCAGGACAGCCCAGAAGAGGACAGGTAAATATTTTCCAGGTGTGCTCACAGGGGCTGTGGGCTGGAGCTAGCTGAACACAGCCAAGGCCCCACTCCCACGTGATGAATATTCTGAATATTCTGAATTTCACTGTCCTCTCTTCCAGGTAAAACAGTGGCTAAGGTAAGGTGCAGTTCTTGTGATGGGAGAAATATATAAATGGTAGTTCATGAAGGAAGAAATCAAATGGAAATTCAGCTCAGGGAAAAAGGGAATATACTAAGAACATCTTCATTATACTTTTACCTCTGGACCTGCCTCTTTTTGAAAGGATTCAAAGCCTGAAGGTTCTCAGCTTTCAGTCGTGTGCAAAGTTTCAGTTAATCAGACTTTTCCCTGTGCATATACCCTGCAGAAATCCTCCTCTAAGCTGAGTTCTGAGGGATTGTGCTCTCATGCTTTGAGGAAAGCTCTGGAAGCTATTTCTGTCTGTGCACAATGACCTTCTGTTTGATCTTGGTTAATTCACTGAAATCTGTTAAGTGCTTTATATTCCTAACAAAAGGATATTATTTTTCCTGTATTTTTGTTCAATATCATTATTAATATCTACTCATTGCTCTGAGGTATTTATAGTGCTCAGTTCATATTTAATTTCTACAGTGATACCCTCAGCTGAAAGGAGAAATAGAAGTGTAAATTGCACTGTCTTGTACTTCTATGACACAGTAATAATATCTCCAGACATGAACAGGCAACTGAAGAGGTTTGATTTTCTGATGAGCAATCTCTATTGTAATTCATATCTTCAATATTTCTATGTTATTGTGCTCATCGTTGTAGGACTTGTTTCCTCAGACCAAAACTGCATTCAGTCATTGGAAAACCAGAGGAAAAATCCAGGAAGTTTAGTTAAAAGTAGGAACGCATACAGAAGACAAATGCAAATAATTCAGGAGATACCAGCAAAGTGCTGCTCTCAAAGCATTGGAATTGTTCTGTTCAACCTGTTGATTGCAATCCCAACACTGTTTAGAAGCAGTTTCCAATGGGTGTCTGTTATTAAATATTCCTTAATTGTGCAAAGCTTATAATATGCATTTTAGTGGAATTTAGCAGTAGCAATATGCACATAAGGAATAATGCAGGGTTCATTTTGCATATGGAACCTAAATATTTTAGCAGCTGAGAGCAACACAATATTGGGTATGAAAAGCTTCCCCCATAAAAGAGAAAATTAAGATTATTTTCACCATTCCCTGCTATGGTATTTGTTATGCTATTTCCTATGGGAAAATACTGCCCTACTGAACGATAAAAGAAAGTTTTATCTCTTTACTAAAGTATTCATTGCTTTTTGATTTACTTATTTAGCTGAAGCTGTAATTGGACTATCTGGCAAGCTGGCTAAAGAGTTATTAAATTCATTTTAATCCAGTAAATGGAATTCACATTACATTGCATCTTTTATAGTAGAAAGAAATACTAAAGCTTAAGTGGATCTATGATGTTATATTTACAGTTTTCAAAGTTTTTTCTCAGTAACTTCCTTCTCTGGTCTTTGAAAGTGTTCAGTACCATGTATTGCTAACTTCTCAGAGCAATCCTTTATAAACATAATTGATACATTACTCACTGTTTTCGTCTGCATTCAATTGCTCTGTCTATCCTGAATTCAGGTAAACTGATGAACCCTTCTGCTTTTTCATCCTATTGAATGAGAAAAAAAAAAAAGATGTTGAAAATGAATATAGAATTAAAGAAGAGAGAAATGAGCAGCAGCTGTTTGGGGTTTATACAAAGAACAACTACTCCAAGGAAGTACTGAATGCATTTTGCACATACTGTTTTTTCTATGAAATGGATTCCATTCATCACACAGCGTAAATAACCTCTGTGAGGTAACTAAACGGATAATTTCTCAAAGGAGGCACAGCCATCCCAATTCCCCTTTTGCTGAAGATCACAGAAAACTTCTCAGGCCCACACACAGCACCTAAACAGAGCAGAGCTCTCAGATTTTCCCCCATAAATCAGCATTTTACAGCTATTTGTCTCTCTTGAAAGTCACAGTTGTCACACCACATGTGCCCCTGAGGAGCTTCCTTGGCGAGGAATTAAATGGGAGGAAATAACCAGGAAATGTATCCCGTCACTTTTTGCTTCTTTTGAAGCAATTCAGCAGGAAATGCATATTAACATATTAACATATTAAGCATATTGACATATTAACACCAGGCAGGTTTTTGAAAGGTGCTAGCAATGGCAAAGCGAATTCTGGCTTGGTTTGGGGCACAGCCTGAGAGCCACGGGGACACAGCCAGTGCCCCAACCTGGCACAGGAAATGTCAAACCCCACAAAACCTGAACAGCCTCCTGGGCTACAAAAACCACAAAAACCAAGGGGAATGATGCTGCTAAACTCATCCTCTGGAAGAAAATGGGAGAGTGGAGTAAAAGATCAGTAACCAAAGCAGGCTGCAGGGCTCAGCTCCAGCGCTGGGGCTGCTGCACACGAAGGGAGGAGCAGCACTGAACTGTTCTGGGCTTCTCCCCTGTTATTTCCCTACATTTATGCAGATTGCACCAGCACAGACCCATTGGTTTTCAGGAAAATTTCACCAAGAACAGCATTTTACACATGAGAAACTGCAAACTCCAGACTAATTCAGCAAAAAGCAAGAGGAACATCGATACAAAAATAACTTCTGGATAAAGAGATTTACAAATTCAGATTTTCACATCTGCTTCACAGAATGCTTAACTAACACAAATGGTTACACTTTACACATCCCTCCCCCCAAGTGAAACTGGGGAGAGCTGAGTGTGAACACTGTGTTAGTCCAAATAAATCTGTGGAAAAGGATTAACTACAGACATACTCATTTCTTAAACACTGCCATGAACATCTGTTATTTTATTAAGCTTGAACATGGACTTGGAGATTTTAAAAAAGAATTTCAGTTGAAATATTTCCAGTCAGAGTGTCCCAGACCTGGCAATTAAAGTGGCAGCTCATCCAAGCACACAGTAAAAATACACTTTAAAGGAACTATTAGTTTAATTTTGACTTTTTCCAAGCATGGCTTGTACTTACATTCTGGTTTGTGTACCAGTACAAGGAGGAATCCTTCAGAATGAACCAGTACTTTTTCCATTTCTGGGTGAAATAACCTTTGGCATCCTTTTTCTTCCAGAGCCAGCCCTCGCAGTCGCCGTGGCCCAGGTCCTTGCAGGAGATGCGCCTCCTGCTCACGCTGGAGAGGGAACTCCCTGGGAACACCACGGGGAAAAATATTCCATTTTCATTCCAAAATTTCCCTCCCAGCCAAACCCTCTCCTGACTCGGAACGAGCCATTTCCAAATTCAGCAGTGCCCTGTGATTTTGGTCTGCCCGTGAACACAAAATGCACAGGGCCTGGTTTGTGCAATGCTTTATTTAAAATCTGGAGGGTTCATTCCTCTAAGGGCTGCATTTTTTTGCTGATTAAGATGGACAGCACCATTCCAAAGTAAAAATGTATTTCTTTAGCCTCAGTCAGGAACTCGGAGTATGACACAATCTGTACACAGATGCAAACACTACTTTTTTCCATATATCTTCCCTTTAGCAGGAGAAGCCCTGACAAATAATGGGAATTTTTAAACAGAATTTTTATAAACAATAAAAAGGAAAGATTGTTCACTTCCATAACAGTGTACATGCTTACATTATTTTTATCCTGAAGTGAGCAACAATATTTTAACTTTACAGCATCCTGTTAAAGGCACAGCACCAGGAATAGGGTTTTTTTCTTTTTCTTGGTGTTATTTCAATGAATCCTAATTGAAAGGCTTAGATTGCTGTGTATATATTAATAAAACCAGGGTTTTTTTAAATAAATATGGTATATTTTCCTGATAAAAAGCTCTGTAGGAGATTTCTTTAACATACCAGACTTTTTTTTTCTGTGAAAAATCAAGTTTATGATGCTATGAGAATTACATTTGTCCTACAGTGGGAAACAGGGAAGAAATGTAAAGAATATAAGATACCACCCTTTGCTCTGCAGTATTCCACAGGCAAATTCTCATCAATTTGCTCATAGATGCTACTTGCCTTCTTCCTAAGGAAGAAGAAATTTTTCCACCCACCCAAACAATATTGTACCTATAAAACATTTCTTTTGCTATTTTAGTTTGGTATTTTCCTTTGTTGCTTACCATCAAATTTACAAATATTTAATCAAGTTGAACTTTTGTTACAGATCACTTATTATCAGAGAAGGACCCTCATTTTCTAGTTTCAAAATGTTAACTAAAAGAAGTTACCTTTTGACCATTTTCTGCTTTTTACCCTGAGGGAAGCGTAATGGAATGACTGTAAGGAAAAAAATAAATAAATTATGAAACACCAGTGCAAGTAACAGCAGTAACATGTAAGAGCTTTCATTCACTCCCCTCTCCAGGGTTATCACAGCATCAGTGATCACAGAATCTCCCTTCTGTCATTCCTCTCTTACAACTTTCCTCAACATCATAAAGAAAACAACACTCTGCTAAATCTGAAAATTAAAATCACTTTAAAAATATTAATTACAATTGCAATGAAAGCATCGGGGATTCTTTGCGTGAATAGCCGTGCAGTAGTTTCAAAATTAAAGATATAAACTCCCATGAATGAGCTGATAAACTGACTGGTATTTGAAGTTTGTTGCATCAAGGAAATAATAATAAATAATTAAAAAATTACAAATAACAGGAAATAATTACAATACAGGAAAAAATTACCAAAATACGCATTGAAAAATAAATATCCACCACAAACATTATAAACAAAATCATGTGCTTAATGATGTGTCAAAGTCACATTCTTCCCACCACACAAACAAGTTTTTTAGGTTGGTGGTTGACAGAATAAGTCTCAGCTGAAAAAAAAAAAAAACTTTTTTTCTTTTGTGGCAGCATTAGAAAATTGCTACAGATTCTGGAAAAAACAAACAAACAAACAAACAAACCACAACAAAACCCTAAAAGCATCTCTTTATTTAAACCTAAAACCAGGGATAGTACTCAAACACTGGTAAGGATTTGCCTCCAATGAACAAATGCTCAAGTACCTAGAAAATAATCAGGTGAAAACAAGACTCCAGCTCCAGAGAGAAACAGGTTTATTTTAAATGACAGCAGCAGAGGGAGGGGTGGGTTTGGCCATCCGCAGCCCTGATTTAGCACTTGACAAGGGGAAGGCTTTGTGGGGACTGCAGGGATCAGCAGCTCCTGACCCCAGCCTGCCCCAGGACAGGAATGTCCCACAAAATGGGACAATCCTGGCAGGGGAAGCTCAGTGAGCCAGGGTGCAGCGCCCACTAACTCAGCACATCTCCCTTGCTTAACTTCATCTCTGCAAATGTGCCTCTTTGCTCAGGAAAAGACAAAGATTAATGCTCCTGTGCTGGAGGAAATGTGGCAAAATCCAGAAAATGAAATGGCAAAACTCGGAGAGAAGGTATCAAATGTGCCCAGCAGCTCTGGGGGGGTTTGTGGATGCACTGCAAATCACAGCAGCAATATTGATCTGTCCTGGTGTGTCTGCTGGAGTTCTGTGGTGGCTGGGGCTGGAACAATCTGCTCAATGTTCCTCTTTCCAGAGAAATGCATTAGGGCAAAGCAGGTGTGTTCCTGAAAAAGACATCACCAAATTTTCCCCCAGTTTAGGCTAGAGAAATGTAGGAATGGAATAAAACCCTATAATCAAATGTGGGCAAATTTAAAGAACTGCAAGACAAATGAAATATCTAGAGGAGATACTCACCAGAAACTGATATTCATCATTTAATATGAAAGTTTTAAAAATAATGAAAGAAACAGCACAACAAATCAAGAGAGAGGTGAAAATATCTTTTTGAAATAAAAAAATATCCTTCTTCCAAAATGCTTAGCAAATTATTCTTCCTGTTTTGTTTTTTCACACCTAGAATGTATTCAAACCAAGGAAACTAGAGAAAGTGAAAGGTTTGCAATACCTTGGGAATCAGTAGCTAATTAGCACTGCTGACGTAAAAATTCAAACTCCACATTCTGAGAGATAAAAGAACCACTATAATATAATTAACTTGGTGGCAAACACTGTAGGGAAACAGAGCCCACAACTCCAAATGACTCAGAGTTGCTATGGGAGACAGACAGATGATGGAGAGCTCGCTGGGCTGTCAGCATTTCAATTCTTATCTCCAAACCACACCACGAGGCCAGTCAGGGAGTGCACACCCTGCCACCCCCACCCAAAGCCAGCCCAGTGAAAAATGAAAGGAAAAAAGTGATAGAATTGAATGGATGCTACTGAAGATAAATTAAGGAGATCTCAGTGTAATCAGGGGGTAGGAGAATTGCTGGCACAGAAACACTAAATGAAAACCAAAACTGGTTGCTTGTTGCTCCACTGGTTTTAACCTCAGGAGTTCTTAGGGAAAACTGTTTAGAACTGAGTCATGCCAGCCACAGAAGTTGGGAGGGACCTTAGAGCTCATCCCATTCCCTCTGCCACGGGCAGGGACATCTTCCACTGTCCCAGGGTGGTCCAAGCCCTGTCCAGTCTAATCAGTGTAAAAAGTGCCAAGTCAGAATGAAGAACTGACATTCTACAAATGAAGGTTCTGTTGTTAGTCTTTTGAATGAAATAAAAATAAACCAATTTTTTTAACAGCTATTTTCCATTGAAAATGAAGCAGTCAAATTGCTACCACAAAAATATTTGAAAATCTTAATCCCCAAACTCCTTTTCATAGTATTGGTACTATTTGAATATTCTAAGAGTTTTCAAACTTTTCTTTACCTTCAGTGTAAGCCTCCCTCCAGAAGTGCCTTCCAGCCCAACGTGGTGTGTGATTCTGGTCTCCAAACCATCACATACTTGAGAACACACACCAAGGTTCCTAAAATTAACTGAATTCCTAAGCTCCTAATCTTGACTAAAAGTATTGCAGAAACACTGACCTGCTGTGGTTACAGCACTCAGTTTCTTCAACATGGAAATTATTCCTAGATTTTTGTTTTCAGCTCTTTCATAACATAGGCAAATGTCAAGGTTTGGGATATCTAAGGTATCTTTTAAAAATATAACACTGAATTGAACAGTTGAAGAGTTTTTTGCTTATTTCAAGCATATTTATAAATCATTACCTTCCTCATGGATGTGTTTCCTGGATGGTCAATGGCAGAACTTGCATATCTAGGGCAAACAGAAGAAAGATGTCAAATAACCACAGGAAAAAACCCAAACTGATTACATAGTGCTTACAGACACTGTGAATTTCTAAATATAACTGCAGCATCCTGCAGCACAAAGTTCTATAAGATTTTGCTACAGGATGCCACAGATACCAAGAATTGACACATTAAAATGCAAAATACCATCTCTGATATATGTGAGTTCTGTAAAGACTGGAGAACAAAGCAGGGCAGCAGCACCAGAGGCCTTTCCTCATCCAGTGCAAACAGTATTGGCCATGATGGAAATAGGACACTGAATTAGGGTCAGATTTGTCCTTTTTATCCATTTTTCAGAACTTGGACTAATACACATGTAGCATTTTGGATTTACCTACCTGGTCACAGGAATGCATTTTTAATCACCTCATCTGGATCTGTGATTTACATTTAGGTTACTAGAACTTCTTCCATCTTTTATATAATATATTTCTGTTGCATCAAGTAAATTCTCACTGCAGATTAATTATTGAGTATTTTGTAGAGAGGTTTGAAATCCCTGGCTCAGGTCTCTGCTCTGGGCTGTTGATGCTTCAAGCAAATCAGGTGCACCTGTAAATCTCTGCAGTACAGGTGCATCTGAACATGCAACACTGACAGCAAAATGTCAAGACTGAAAGTTATTTTTAAAATGTTTATCTCTTCTTATCTCTCCAGCATTAACCACAAGTAAAAAAAAGTAATTTCCAAAGCACACCGCTGTGACGGTGATCAAAATAATCTTTAAGCATTATTTAAAAAGACAGAATGTGTTATGAGAAAGAACTTGAGCAGTGTTTTCACATGAAAACAAAGCAAATATTCAGCAAAATGTTCATCCAAGCAGCAGCTGTGCCCCGTGTGACTGATGCAGTTTTTCTGCCTCTCTCCCCTTGCAGGGCTGGCTGCCGAGGGAAGCAGAGATCTGCACCCAGGCGCCCACAGGGATGTCACAGCTACGTGACACACCCCTGGCCAGAACCCACAGCTTTGGGGCTTCCTATTACTGGGAAAAATTCTCCTGAAGTGAGATGAAGATCAAAGAGCAGGGAGAACCCTGCTAAGCAGAGGCAGGTGTTTGTCTGCAGGAAAGCTCAGCAGCGATTCCTCGCTGGGCGCCTGTTACCTCATCCTCGTCCATGAAACAGCCCCCAACAGGGCAAAGCTCCTGGAAAACAGGGGAACAAATCAGCTCAGGGACAGGCAGCCCAGCTTGCCTTCCTAAAACTCAGTGCACCCACACATCCAGGGATTCCAGCTGCAGGCTGCCACTGCCTAAATTGATGCCTTAAGTTTGAGCTTTCATATTTTCCTGATTCTGTTGTGCATTGGTGAATAACTCTGAACTCCATATAAAGTGTCAGCAGTTCTCCTCACAGCTCAGGCACACAGAAAAATCCTTTTCCAGACCAGAACCAGCTCAGGCACACAGAACAATCCTTTTCCAGCCCAGAACCAGCTCAGGCACACAGAACAATCCTTTTCCAGCCCAGAACCAGCTCAGGCACACAGATCAATCCTTTTCCAGCCCAGAACCAGCTCAGGCACACAGAGCAATCCTTTTCCAGCCCCAGAACCAGCTCAGGCACACAGAACAATCCTTTTCCAGCCCCAGAACCAAGGACGCCACTGCAGCTTCAGGCCCCAAAAGTGCAAACAGTGAATTAAGGAGAGCCAACTGGGAGGATGGGACTGCATCACCCGGAGCTGGAATTGGACAGTGAACCCCAATATGGAAATGGACCAAAACTTATAAAAGTGTGAAAACTCCTGACCCAGGGTGTAGCCCTGGCTGGGCTCTTGAACTGCCCAAGGTGTATCTTGTGAAGTCCTTTTAATAAATCCCTACTTTATTCCTTTAACTCTGTCCAGCCTCTGCTCCAGGCATCAAAATCACAGCTCCTGCTCAGGAGTGAGCTCACAGCTTCCAGCCCCAGGGCTGTGAGGGCAGCTCAGGTTTGGCAGGCAGGGAGGTTTGTGTGAGAGGGACAATGTCCTGCACCAAGGGCTGCTGCAGCTCCTGCCCTGTGCACACAGCTGGGCCAGCTGCAAGGTGTTTGGGTGCCAAAGTTTGGGAGAACTCAGAGTTGTAAGGCAGGGATTCCTCATTTCTGCTCTGCTCCGGGCTGTGACAGAGCTGCCAGCCTTGCTCTATGCTCTCCTCCTCAAATGAGTGAAAAAGCTCTGTGTTCCCAGGGACAGCACACAGCTCTCACAAAGCTGCTGGAGCTCTGGGGGAGGTTCTACCACATGCAAGAAACAACTTCCTTCTCCTTGGCTTTTTTAAAGCAAAGGATGCTATAATAAATATCACAGAAGCTCTACAGGTCCCTGTCTGTTGAAAACACAGAATCCCAGGATGGTTTGGGATGGAAGGGACTTTAAATCCCATCCCATTCCATGCCCTGCCATAGGCAGGCACACCTTCCACTATCCCAGGCTGCTCCAAGCCCTGTCCAACCTGGCCTTGGAACTCCAGAGATCCAGGGGCAGCCTCAGCTTCTGTGAGCACCCTGTGCCAGGGCCTCCCCACCCTCAAAGGGAAGAATTTCTGTATATCCAACCTAAATTTCCCCTCTTTCAGTTATTGAAGATATTTCACCCAAATATGTCAATCAATCAACACAGTTTGTCTCCTGGTCCCCAAAGCCTAACTCTAGGGGCTAAATATCTGAAAATCGGGTCTTATTTTGGTTTAAGCTGTTTAAAACACTTTAAATAAGGTTATTAGGAAGGTGATATAATTCTGCCTCTTGAAATATTTTCCAACGTATTGAAAAGATATGATATGGTCATGTTTTGGGCCTGAAATTTAAAATGTGTGGGAGAAGGATTCTTCTATAAAAGAATATAAAAGCATAGCCTTTTGCTATGAAAGTTTGCCAAAATTTCATCAAGTCATATGTCCCTGGAAAGTATCTCTTGGCAGATGCCCTGTCCTGTCCACCAGGGATGATCCATCTGGATTGCAACGTCCCTGCCAAACTGGGCATGTGCAACCTGCTGGGAAAAATCAGGAGCCCTTTGCTCTGGGAAGAACAAAATTGCTCAGAAGAAAAAAAAAAATCCAAACCAAAAAAACAAAACCCTCTTCATCTCTTCTTTTGTGGTTGCACCAAAATGTGGGTGTGGAGAAGGAAATGAAATAGTGAAACACGTGGCTGTTTCTGGGAAGGGTATGGGGTTTGAAAAGTCAGGCAGGAAGGAGGCGAGGGAGGGCTCAGCCAGGCTGAAAATGAGGAGAAACAAGTGGGAGAGAAGAGCAGGAGAGGAGAAACTTTAATGGGGCTGGGAGACTCAATGGAACCAGTCAGATTTACAGAAAACAGTAGATTTTGAACACTCGGGTGTAAGAGGCAAAGGCAAAATGTGAAATGAAGTTGTTGCTTCAAAAGAGAACAAGAGCAACTCTCCCCAGATAGCTCTGGACAGGAGGGATGCTGTGAAGTGGAACAAAATATTAATATTAAAATATTAATATGTTTAATTTTCTGTAAAAGCAACCCCCCACACTTAGCTGAGGTGATGAACTGCTGGCATGGGAGGGACAGGACTGTCTGTTGTCAGATGAGGTGGAATTTCATCTGTTCCTCACTTTAATCTCTGCTAGCAGTGCTGCTCCATTTGGTTAAATGCCATTTTAACCATGCACAGCACACCAGGGCAACAGCAGCAAATCACCACTACACCTGCCTTTCAACTGCATTGTGATGTTTAAAACACACATAAAGAGGCAAAAATGCTGTCAGCCCTGGAAAATCAAGCATGAAGTGGTCAACAGCTGATAATTCTGCACCTCAGACTTTTAGCTGCAATTCAGGGATGTTTATAGCCCTGAAGGGAATCATCAGCAGCTGTAAATCCTTTAGATTGGTCAAAGCACTCTAAATCTAATTAATTATTCAGCTTCTTAAATAGGTTTAGGCCATATGCAGGATGAAGAAACATAAAAAGAATAATTATCATAGATTACAACTAAACTGAACTAGAAAATATGATGGTACAAAGTAGCTGTTGCTTCAAACATTCTTTAACTGCGACTTCTGGATACAACATGACTATGAAGATACTTCATCAGATAAACAGCAAGGAAATGAAAGAAAAAAAATCACTGCTTTCTTCATTAGAATAAATTGATTCAATTCAGACTGAAAGACCAAACTGAAGACCCCATTCTTAAAACCTATCTACTACAAACCACAGGTACAAGCAGTAATTTTGTACAGACTGAAGTAGAGGTAGATCTTCCTTGAAACATTCTGCCTGTTGGTTATGAAAATTGTGTTGGACACAAATTACATTTTTCATCCTCAGAGTGAGTCTGAAATACTGAAATTCAAAAGTAAAAAAGTAGATTGGGCAACATAACAGTTTTTTCCCCTCTAAAAACATAACAGAATTTTTCCCCTCTAAAAATATTTTATAAACTTTTATGTGAAGAATTTTTTAAACCTTTGGAATTTTTATTTATGTTTGATGTTGGCGAATGAACGGTTGCTAAATGAGATCAGCACTGATATCTCTAAACCCTGAAAATTTATTCCTCAAATACTGCAACAAAGTTTCTAAAAGTAAAGAATGGAGTTTAATCCACAAATATAAATGTGTATATATTTAAATATAGAATAACAGAAGTAATTACCTTTCAGTATCTCCACTGACTGTATCCCCTGCTCTCTGCAGAAGAAAAATAAAGAGCATTAAGCACAACTAAAAACCAGACTTCCTTGGTGTACTGAGCACAGTGAAACGAGTGACAGAGGTAAACCACAGTAACTCTAAAGCAAAGGAAATGGAACATTTATTTCAATTTTCAGCTAAGAATTATTTCAGAATTAAGATAATGCTTAAACCAACTTGCATTTTCACTTAAACTAACTTCAGATGCTCTGTAATTGTGATCAAAGTTCTTGAAAATAAGGGAGCTAAAATTTGTTTGAATGTTTGCAAAAGTGTTAATATTTGAAGGGGAGTTTAAATGCAAAGAGCAAATATTGCAATGTAAAATACAGAATTTCAGAAGGACAAGCTTTCTTTGACATCATTCTTACACAGCTTTAAATAACTTGATTTACCACACTGGTTATTTATTCCTCTGAGGTTTGGAAATGAACCTGTCTTCATGGAGCAAGTAGCAGCTGATTTAGGGTTAAAAATAAAATCTTCAGATAGTTTAATTTACACTAACACCAGTTTGTGATGGAGGATTTTTCTCACAGCTAAATATTGAAATTTACAAAAAAACAAAATTACAAAAACGCCACCCCCAAATAGTTGCAAAATTCACATATATTTGTTTATAAATGCAGAAATCCGCAAAATCTTTGACTTTCTGGATAACCGAATAGGAAACTGATAATTTTAGTAAGTTCAGTGTATGTTTTAATGCCACTACATGCAGCAGATGTTTGGGCACAGAGAATATCGAGCCACAGCTGAGCTGAGAGCACAGAAGGGAAGGGACAGGAAGTTTGCTGGGTGCATTTTTGCAAGGGTTTCTGAGGCAGCTTTAGATCGTGCAGGGGACAAACACATTTTGCCACCTTCTCCCTCAAAAGTCCCCCTTGCCCCTGGGGAGCCCAGTACAGACCCAGTTCTCAGCTTTTAGTGTGCTTCAGCTGAAATATTCCAGCAAATGTGAGCTGCAGAGATGATCCCACTCAAATGTTATCTGATGAAAAATGATGAAATGTGCCCTTACAGTAAAAGCAGGAGTTCTCTGACATTCCTTGTTGAAACCAGGCAAGGGCAGGAGCTCCCCACTGAGTGACTGAGTACAAAAAGCCCTAACAGCCTTTCCTGAGAGCCATAAATGCCTCAATTCTCCTCCGAGTATGCTGAAATGCAGCCTAGAGAAGGTAAAAAAATTGAAAATACACTGTAGAAATACTCACATTTTCTCAAAGCAGATTGGAAGGGTTAATAGCACACAGCTAAAACAAAATAGCAGCTTGAGAGATGTTGTTTTGGTGCTGGAAATGCACTGCTAAATACAAATAAACCAGTCTGAGCATCCCTGGAAATACTGGGGACAGCCCAGGAAAATACTGTGTGGCCAAGCGAGCAAAAGAACTTTGACAGCAGCACTACCCATGCTACTGCTACAAAAATAGAATTTATTCCTACCAGAAGGCTCAAAGCTTTCCTTCCCTTATCCCTCTGACTTCTAAGGCTTCTAATTATAGCAACTAAAAGTGGGACTACTAAATCAGGCAGTGCTTCCCCTTCTATTTCTTAATTTCCTTTTCCAAAAATGCTCCCAAAGTAAAAGCAAAATGTTTCCAAATCAGGATTTATTCCCTCTCCCCAAATGGGACCCATCCCATGCTCTCTTCCCTGACACAGCTGAACTAAACCATCCTCACCCTGCTCTGGCTGCTCTTTCCAGCACCTGAATTACAAATTTTCAATGCTATAAGAATTCAGTTATTTATTTCCTTCCAAGAAAATGCACAAACCCCACTTCTGTCACACGTGATCACCTTGGAGTGTGGCTTCCAGATTTCTTTTCATCAGATAGATTTCAGAAGTGTTATGTGAACTTGCATTTATTAGGCTGAAAAAAGACTTACTGGAGAGAAATTTGCTTCTGATAATAAAACACATTTTTCTAGAGGTCAGTCTTTCAACACCACAAATTTTTCTGCATTACTGAGCATTAATTTCCAAAGATATTGAATAATGTAGTCTCATTAACTGAAGCATAATCTGTAGCAGGGAAATTTAAAAAGACTCTATAACAGTGTGAAAAAGAAAAATATGATTTAACCATTGAACAACTCATAGATTATTGTAACTGATTATTACTTGCTGTAATTTAGAAAAGAACAAAAAAGAATATCTATATAAATACAGAGGGAGAGAAAATTGTTGATATGAGGACTTGAAACATACAAAACATAATTATACCTTTTTAAGTATTTATCAATAATTAATCTATTAGAAGAAAAATCTCATCTCCTGATCAACTCATCACTAATGCAGAGATTATTACCAGTAATTAAGTGTGGACACTCAGGATTACTACAGACCTTTGTCACATATTTATCATCTCTTATTGACTGATTTTCTCCCCAGAGAAGCTCTCTTGGGAGAGCAATCTTGTTGCCAGCTTGAAATGCCAACCTTTAAAAAGGATTTCTGATACTATACATGGAAACACCCACATGACATTTCTATAAATGTCTACCTATAGCTAAAATTAATTTCCTTGTGTAATTGTAATTACATGCAGATTCAATGCTGACAATGACAGTGTGGAAGGCTCCTACCCGCATTTTCAGCAACCTTATGTATAGTTCTTTTTTTGAGCAGTTACTTCTTACCACTTTGTGACATTAGAAAAAAAAAATTGCCTTTTCCTAGTTCCCAAACTAAAACTTTACTTCATCTTACTACAAGGCCACTTTCATGAGTAGCAGACATGTGGGAGGCTCAGGAGACACAAGTCTTGTCATGCTGTCAGAGACTATAAAGCACAAATTCTGTGAAATTCAGGTCACTGGCACCTATCTGCCTTCTTTAGTCAGCTCCACATTTCTGGAGCTCAGGGATCCCCATGGATCTGCTGCTGCTTGCACGAGTGGAGATGAAAGGACCCAGAGGCCTCTGTGGTGCCACAAGCAGATCTGAGGCTCCTCTCCCAGAGGAGATCCTGTAGAAAGTCCCATTTTCCTGAAACTTCTATAAATAACTTAAAAAAAAAAATAGTTCATTTGAATCAGAATTTCTTCTAAGTAAAGAAATCATCTAAACCACCGAGAACAGAAGAACCCTGAGCTGCAGAGATCGTGTGAAAATATTCAACCCTTATTATTTACTTGTTTCCTGAAGAAAGAGATGGGAATAGTGTTGGTAACAAGATTAGAATAGTTTCATGTGTGTTACTTATCTCAGTGGTCAAATTCAAGATATTTATTCCATCTACATCTATCATTTATTCAGATGCAAAGATTCAAAAGCTTCCTTATCATACTGTTCTTCCACTCTTCTATACTCAGATACTGAATTATTATTAATAAAAGTAAAAAAAGAAAAAATTATTTCTTCTCCTGCTGCTTTAACTCATATATTTATTATCCTGAAGACTTCTCTATATCATAGTTGTTGAAAAACAATCAAACAGTGGCCTTGTTATGAGGAGCTTTACTTATCTCTCTACCTCAGAGAGCTGATGTTTTCACCCACTGAATCTGCTTTCAAAATTATCATGCTGAGCTAAAAATAAAGATGGCCTTTGAGGTTTTCATTCCACTCACCCTTGTTGAGGGGGGAGATAACAGAGACAGGAAATCAGCCAGAGTAATCTACATTTATGTACAGTTGGAGGTACTCAAATTTGTGCTGAGGGAAAACAAGAGGGCAGGTGAGGAAATGAGCTGGGGGCAGAGGGAGGGGACCCACTGGAGTTTGTGATGATGGGTGATGAGGAGCACTGCCAGCACACGGGGGGAGCAGGGGGGCTCAGGAAAAACAGGCAATTCCTTCCCCTTCCTCAGTTTCCCCATTTCCATGGGAACAGCTGGCCCTGCCCTGTTCGGGGCTGACCTTTCTGCCATGAAATCTCCTGTCCTCCAGACCCAAAATCCTGCCTTTGTGCCATGAAATATCCCTGTCCTCCAATCCCAAAATCCTGCCTTTGTGCCATGAAATGTTCCTGTCCTCCAATCCCAAAATCCTGCCTTTGTGCCATGAAATGTTCCTGTCCTCCAATTCCAAAATCCTGCCTTTGTGCCATGAAATATTCCTGTCCTCCAGTCCCAAAATCCTGCCTTTGTGCCATGAAATGTTCCTGTCCTCCAATCCCAAAATCCTGCCTTTATGCCATGAAATGTTCCTGTCCTCCAATTCCAAAATCCTGCCTTTGTGCCATGAAATGTTCCTGTCCTCCAAAACCCCCTCCTTGTTCTCCTGGAAGATAAATATTGCAATTATCATAGCAATAATATCAGTTGTAGCTAATATTTATTAACAAACAGCTGTTAAATTTGGTTTTAGACTATATATATATATGTGTATCTAAACTGGTTTTTTTTTAGTAGCCTGGCAAAACAATAAAAACAAGGCATAAATTCATTTGCTAAAATAGTACAATGCACTACAACTTAGTTGTGTTGTGGTTCTCTAGAGTCAGAGGACCCCGGAATGTTTTACAAATTACAATTTACCCATGAAGTCACAGCAGGTTAACGAATGCTTCATTTGCTGACTTGCATTGGTGGTGGTTTGTTTGAAGATGCAGAATATCATCATTTAAATATGCTCTAATAGAGCAGAATTACTTCTGAAAACACTGCATATGTTTGGATAAAGGCAGCCTCATATTTGCTTTGTGCAAAGTGTCCTGATATCAGAACAAATAGAGGAACTCCAGGCCAGCCAGGCAGCCTGAACTTTGGGAAGCAGCAGGAATGAGCAGCCTGTCTGGGGCTGAATTTGCAGACACATTCTAACCTGGCTGTTTCAAACAAAATTCCAGCCCCTCTCCTGAGCCTCTGCAAGGGGCTGGATCTTCCAGAAATCAAGGACAACCTGAATTCTGGGTTAACACTGGTTTAGTATTTTTTTTCCCCCGTGGATCCAGATCAGTTATTAAGTTCTTGATTACTGAATGAATGTGGAAACTCAAAGACTGATGATATTATTGGTAAAAAAACCCCTTTCTCAACATTTTATTT